CCCGCGACCGCGGGGGGGCGCGCATGCTGGCGCCGCGCGCGCCTGCGCCGCTGCCGCCGGTTCCAAGCTGCAGAGCCCCATCTGCTCCCCCTCTTATCCCTGTGCTGTGTGCTGTGCCGCAGAAGCCCTTTGCCGAGGCGGCTTTCATCAAAGCCATGTTCGCCCTTAAGGAGGAATGGGATGCCAACCACCCCGGCGTGGGCGGCTGCGAGCCCGTCGCCGCCAAGCCCGTGGGCGCGTGCTACAAGAGCTGGGTGCCCGGTGCGTGGTGTTCACCGCGGGGGTGCCAGGCAGCGCGCCGCCCCGCACGCCATGCACAGCATTGAGCTGCAGCATCACAGCAAGGGATGCTGCCGCCAGCAGCCAAGTGCTCCACGCGGCATTTGTGGCTCCAGAGGTGCTGACACCTGTCCCCCGCCCGTGTGGTGCACTGCAGGCAAGGCTGGCAGGCAGATCAAGGGCGAGTACGGGTTCACCGTGAAAGTGAAGGTGAGGCGCTGACCAGGCCAGCGTGTGCTGGGAGCAAGCTGGGCGGCGCGAGGCACTGTCGCCCTGCCCTCCCCGGGTCTCGCACTCCCTGACCGCGTTGCTGCCATCGCCGCCTCGCAGGTTGTGTGCCCCTTTGAGCCCTTCAAGGCCTGGTACACCATCGACGTGCTGGCCTACACCCGCCGCGACGGCTCCTACTGGGCCCCGATCAAGGTCCTCCACTGAGCGCGCGGCACTCTGGCGTGCGCCGAGGGCCGGTCCGCCACGCCCCTGCGCGCCACCCTGACTTCCGCCCTCCCGCTGTTCCTCGCGACCACCTTTTGAATGAATATAATGAGCGCGCCGTCACAACCCCTCCACCCCCTGCAATCCCAATCACCTGCCTCACCTCCCTTCCCTTTGACTGACCTGCGCCCCCCCGACTTGGGCAGCGCTTGATCGCCAGGCGGCAGCGCCCATTCCGCTTCCTCTGGACCCCACCTCCTCCGCCCTTGCCCCTGCTGCTCTCTCCCCAGTTATCTTGGACGACTCGACCATCAACCCGAACCGCTGAAAGCCCCCTTTGAACTGCTTGCGCTAGCGCTGCCCCAGCGGTAAGCACAGAACCCTCCCGAATTCCTTCGAAGGAATCCCCTCGCCCAACGACACATCTCCCTCCCCTAGTGATGTCCGTGATCTGGACGTGCCCACGCTGCGCTGTGACTGTTCACAGTCAGCATGCCAGCTTGGTCCCTTCCCCCCTTCCCCCCTGTAACCATATAAGACTATGAGTGGCACCGCAAGACAACTGTCAACTGCTGACAACTGTCGCCAACTATGGCTGTGCATCGGCCTGGGGTTGGTTTATGGCACAGCCGCTGCATATAAATGCCTCCCAAACTGGACCCCGGTTTGTGACCCAGCCAAATGCCAGCCAAAACTGCGGTGGCGGCGCGCTCTGCGCGGAGCGCCTGCTGCGCCCGCTGCACTCTTGCACCGCTCCTTCCCTCGGTAGCCACGAGGTGGCTTGAACTCCGCTTCTGAGCCCCTGTCGATATTTCATTGCCTTGCGCGGCTGGGAAGGCAGTTCGAGGGCCGAGAACTACCCTCGCTGAAGCGGGCGCTGATGGAGGAGGCTGGCGCCATAGAGCTCAGGCGAGAGAAGCCTGCGCCGCACCGCAGGCGCTGCTGCAAGCGAGGCAGCCAAGTGCCCCCTCGGCTGCCGGCAGCCGCCGTTCCGCTGCGCCGCTGCCTGGACACCCTCGCTGCCTGCCCTGCGCCCCACACAGCGATGAGGGTGCCACCCATGCAGGGGTAAGGGAGCCGCGGCCATCGCTGAGCGCAATGCGGAGTTCAACAGGCAGCGCCTGGGGCGGGGAGGGGGCGGCGGCGGCCCTCTGCGGGTGCATGACCCGGCTGCCCTGTCTCGGCTCATGGCTGAGATGAAGGCCAAGGCGGAGCAGCAGCGGTGCGTCACAGTGGGGATGACTGCCCGTGCTGCTGCCCACGGATTGGGACACGCAGCTGCCACCCCGCCTCTACTCTGGGCCTGCCTCGCCGGCACGACCAGCGCTGTGCCACGCGCCACGCCTGCCAACATCGCGTCTTCCCACGCTGCAGCGTGGCCGAGGAGGCTCGCGAGGGCGAGCGGCGGCAGCGCGAGGGCGCCGCCTACCAGACGCCCGAGCAGCGCGCCGAGGCGGCGCGCGCCGCGCGGCAGGCGGCGGCAGAGGGGCGGGCGGAGCGGGAGGAGGCGCGGGTGGCGGAGAAGCGCTTTGACCCGGCCCGCGACTATTACCAGCTGCTGGGCATCCCCAGGTGGGCCAGCGGCAGCCGCCAGCAACGGGAGCCCCATGCCTCCATGCCTCCATGCATGCATGATGCCTGCTCGCATCTGCACACTGAGTTGCTGCCAGCCAGCGGCTGGGGTGCATGGCCTGAAGCGGCGACCGCAAGGCTCCCACCGCCCGACCCAGCCAGCCGGCCGGCCTGCGCGTGCAGGGGAGCGTCCGCCGCCGACGTGCGCAGGACATACAAGCGGCTGGCCCTGCTGTACCACCCCGACAAGCACAAGGCGGAGGGCGTGGAGCAGCAGGCCGCCATCCAAGAGAAGTTCAAGCAGGCGCGGGGGGGGGCAAGCACGTGACGGAGCAGGCGGGCAGGGTGTGGGGCGAGGGCCGGCGGGGCCCTTAGCGGGCCCCAGGTAAAGGTGGGGAAGAGCCTCCACAAGCTTCACTTCCCGGTTTTAACGTCTAGCTTTAGACCATTATTTGATCTGCCCGACGCGCCAAGTGCAGTACCCCCCACTAGTAGTGAATGGGTCCCGTGGAGGCCTGTGCCGAAGCCTTGGCGATTCTATTAGGCGTTCCCGAAGGAATTGGCTTGGATTGGCGCTGAGCCGGTCAGCTATGCCGCGTTTGTCCTCACAAAGTTTCGACATGGGAGGAATCGAACCTGTGCCCTCTCGGAGGGTTTAGACACTAGCTCCAGCGCCTTCAAAGAAGGCCTTTCTTAGCCGCGGCCTAAACGTCTGCACTAGCGGAGAATCGAACTCCGGTCTGGTCCGTGGCAAGGACCTATGCTACCACTATACCACTAGTGCGATTAGCGGGCCCCAGGCACTGGGCACACCGCATGAACGCGGTGGGCATATGCATGGCCTGCCACCCGCCGGCATGCGTGCTGCGCTGCACTGTGCTGCCCTGCTCATGCTTCGTGCAGGTGGTGGAGGCGTTTGATGTGCTGTCGGATGAGGGGCAGCGGGCGGTGTACGACAAGTGCCGGGACTACATGGTGGGTATCCCGGCCCGCCAGCCGGCCTGGGACACCTGCCTGCCGCATGGCATGGAACCCTGGCGGGCTGCTGCTGCGCCCGCCGCGCCTGACACCGCCCTGGCACTGCCATGCATGCGCCTGTGTGCGCGCAGGACGCCAACCCGGGGCGCGGCCTGCCGGTGCTGAGCCCCGAGGAGGCGGCGCTGATGAGGAGCGGGGTGGCGGAGCTCAGCCGGCTGCGCCGCATGGGCGCCAAGGCCACCAAGCACCCCCCTCTGGAGAAGGAGGTGGGGCCTGTCAGCGGTGGTGGTGTGGAGTGTGTGGTGTGGTGCAGGCTTGGGGTGCTTGGTGAGTAGGGTGCTGGTGAACCTTACAGCTGCGTCCGGCGTGCCTGGTACCAGGTGCTCCGCCAGGGGCATTTGTCGTTACCCTTTCGGCCCTCCCCCGCCGTCCCCGCCCCCAGGTGCCTGTATCCCTGCAGAAGCTGAACGGCGGGTGCACCAAGACTGTGGCGGTGGAGCGGCGGCGGGTGAGGCCCGCCGGCGCCGCCTTCCTCAGCACCAAGAACGTGCACTGCATCATACGGTGGGCGCCCGGTGGGCGGGGAGAGGGCCCCACGGCGTGTTGCTGATGGCCCCAAGCCGCGGTGCCGGAGGCCCCCTCTGCTGCTGCCCTCCAGCGGCCCGCTGCCCGGGCTGCCAGCTGTTTGTGGCTGCAGCCGGGGCTCCCGCGAGGGCGACCGGCTGGTGTTTGAGGGGGACGGGGAGGAAGCGGTGGACACCCTGCCCGGGGACCTGGTGCTGGTGCTGCGCCAGAAGCCGCACCCGCAGTACCGCCGCGCAGGTACTGGGCAGCGGGGCTGGGGGGCAGCAAGGCGCGCAGCAAGGGAACGTACGGGTGGCGAGGCGGCCACCAACAAATGATGCCCGCCGTGTCCGTGCCTGCCCTCCCTGGGAGCGGCGCAGGGCCCAAGGATCTCGAGATGTTTGGCGGCTCGGTGCCACGGGGGGACCTGCTGTTTGGTGTGGAGGTGACCACGATCCAGGGCAAGCGCCGCCTGCTGACGGGATCCGCCTTCAGGTGCCGCCGCATGTGCTGCCCGCTACTGCTGCTGCCTTACGGCACACCCGGGGCGCACGCATGGCAGGCTGCCGCTGGCCAGCTGAGCCTGCCGCATGTCTGACCCGTGTGGAATGCCTGCAGGGAGGCGGCAGCCAACGGCGGCGCGGGCGGCGTCTGGCGGGCGGAGGTGCCTGGGCAGGGGCTGTACGATGCAGGCACGTGGCTGCGGCAGCAGTGCAGGCACCCAGGTTACTGCCCCTGCATGATTCGTTTCATACCAGAGTCCCTGCCACCTTCCTGGCACCTCCCCACCGACCCTTGGCCCCATCTGCCTCTTCCCACGCCGCAGCGGAGCCCTGGGAGCACCCCGCCGGTAGCCTGAGGGTGCAGCTGCGCGTCTCCGCCTGCCTGCTGGAGGAGGCCACCATCTCCTGCTGCCTGGCGCCGCAGCCAGTGCACCTGCTGGGCAGCTGCGCTGATGAGGTGGCCGCGGCGCTGGCGGCAGGCAGTGTGGCGGGCATGCTCTGCCACCGTAGGGAGGCAGCAGAGATGGCCGCGGAGGCTGGCGGCAGCGGGCTGCATGGGCCAGGCAGCAGCTGCGGCAGCTGGCAAGATGCATGCGCCGGCGCGGCGTGGCGTGGCGGCGGCAGCAGCCAGGGCAGCAGCCGCAGGAGCTCCGGCGGCACCCCAAGCAGCAGCAGCAGCAGCAGCAGAGCAGGCATGGGCAGGCGGGCAGCGCGCCCCACAGCGGTCTGTCTGGTGGCGGCGCCTGCCCCGCCAGCAGGCCGCTGCTGCCAGAAGGCGTGCGGGCACCCTGGCAGCACAGGGTGCAGCCCCGCCGCCGCCACCATGCTGCGAGTCCTGCTGCGGCGGGTGCCGGGCCTGCGCACCAGCACCGCG